GGAATGCAGGGCCTCCACCTCCTCCAGGATGAGCTTGCACGTTGACCCCAGGCAGTGATGTCCTGGGCGGGGATGCACCACCCTGTCGCCCTTGGTGTCACACAGACCTCAAATGGTGTCTCGGGGGCTGCTGAGGAGGGACTGGCAGGCATCCTTCAGCTCAGGCTTGGGCGAAACCTGCTGTCCACCCAGTTCTTTAAAGGGGTGGCTCAGGGACAGGACACAGCCCATAGTGTCCGTGAGACCAGAGCGGGGGAGATGGAGGCTGAAGGTGGCTGTGGGGTCAGAGGGCGGTGAGGTCAGGAGGCAGAGAACAGGTGTGGGCAGCAGGCAGGTGGCTCTGGGTCCTTGGCAGGGGCTGGGGCAGCCCTGGAAACCCGTCTAAGGGGTGACGCTAAGCTCCCTGCCCGATCATGTTCCTGTAGTCGGGGACGATGGTCCGCTTTAGTTCCACCACCGAGGAGAAGATCCACTTCACCTGTAGGCAGTGTAAGGACCCCACGTCAGCCTCCCAGGGACAGCGAGGGAAGGCCAGGTGGGGACAGCATGGGGCAGTGAGGGGACAGTGTGGGAGTGTGTGAAGACAGTGTCAGGATGACATGGGGGATAATGTAGGGATGGTGTGGGGACAGCATTGGGCCAGCATGGGGATGGCATGGGGACAGTATGTGGACGTCATGGGGATAGTGTGGGAATAGCATGGGGACAGCGTCGGAATGGTATGTGAACAGTGTGGAAACACCATGGGGACAATGAAGGGCCAGCATGGGGACAGCATGTGGACAGTTTGGATACAGCATGGGGACGATGTAGGGATGGCGGGCCCACCTTGAAGAGGGTGACGGTGGCACTGTAGCACACGCTGAACAGGAAGAGGGTGATGAAGATGGAGATGGTGGTCCACAGCCCATCCAGCTCCCCGTCCTGGGCCTCCACACAACTGTCGTCCAGGAGCAACTCTGGACAGGAAGAGGGTGGTCAGTGCTGGCCTGCCATGCAGTGCCTTGTGGGGATCCCCTGTGTGACAGTGTGGGAGCCCCCATCACGCTGGGCCAGGGGCGCCCAGCTCCCGCATCCGTCCAACTCAGCCCCAGATCTTGGGTCCCATCCTCTGTTCTCTCAGAGACTCTCCCGGGGTCGAGCCAGTGCCAGGACTGTGCTGAGTGTGTGCCCAGTGCAGCAGTCGCTGGGGCGCTGGGACCAGCGGGCAGGTCCAAGGGTCAGTCTGGGTGCAGGGGTTTCTGCATGTCAGGGAGCGTGTAGGTGCTCTGGGCAGGAGGAGGGCTGGTGTCTGAGGTGGTCAGTGTGTGGATGAGCCACCGAGTGGCTGCTGGGGCATTGAAGTGGGTGGGGCCAGGCTGGTGTATACTGTGGGGGTTCACAGGACCTGCTCCACGCTGTGGTCTGGGCCTGTGCATGGCGCCTTGTGAGAGGCCCTAGAGTGTAAGGCCTGTGTGTGTGCATGTATGTGCATGTGTGTGTGTGCATATGTATGTGTGAAGGTGGCCACGTGAGCTGGCGCTGCTCAGCAAGAGTGCTTGCTTTCAATGGGCCTGGGCTCAGTGTCCATGTGGGCATTGGGACATTCTGTCCCCTGGGCCCTCAGGGCTGCTTGCCTCTGCCCTTTTGGAGCGTGAGGTTGAGTGCTCAAGAGTGGGCAGGCCTGGCCCCAGGCAGACACAAGGCCAGGCAGAGCCACCGTATCTCAGGGAGGGTGGGGGGCCTGATCGCGAGGGCAAGGAGGGCCTGTCCCCACCCCATGGGCCCGGCATGCCTTCTGTGTGGACACAGAGCCCCAGAGAGACCAGTGCATGGGGAACCCGGGAGACAAGGACACACTGTCACAGCGCAGGCTTGTACAGAGGTGGGGAACGGGGTTTCATATCACAAGGGGCTCCTGAGGGGCCCTGTCCCCTGTCCACAACTCCAGCCTAGAGCAGCCACTGGCAGGGGGCCTTAGGAGTAGCCTCCTGGGGCAGCTAAGAAAGCCCCCTCCCCTGTCCTGGGAGGCCTGTGTAGACCCACAGGCTCTGCATCTCGCCCAGGTGGGACCGGCTGTCTTCGCATGATGGTGACAGCCAGCCTCAGAGGCCAGCCTGAGCTGTGTCTCAGAAAGAACCATGACAGTGACGCAGGGTCCCAGGGTGGTTCTGGGTGCTTTATTTCATGCCAGGGGCACGGGTGTGTACACAGGTTGGAGATCGCATGGCTCATTTACCCGGGTTTTGGGAGATGGATTTCTGGGTGGAGTGGTTGTGCAGGGCCTCGTGCATGACCATACACGTGAAGGTGTGTCCCTGCTGCCACCTGTCCTTGTCCACGGTGAGCTTGCTGTACAGGAAGTAGGACCCGTCGGCGACCCGCTGGGGTGGGGTCGTGCTGTACTTGTTCTCTCGCTCTGGTTGCCCGTTGCTCTGAAACTCCACGTAAATTTCGGGCGGGTAGAAGTCTTTGACCAGACAGGTCACGCTGACCGTGTTCTTGGCCAGCTCGTCCACGTGTGGGGGCAGGATGTACACTTGTGGCTCCCGGGGAGTTCCTGTGGGATGAGGTCAGCACAGATGGTCACTCTCAGGAAAGGGCCAACCCCCCATGACCCTGACCTCGCCTGTGCATGTCCCACCTTTGGCCTTGGAGATGGTCGTCTCGATGGGGGCTGGAAGTGCGTCGTTCTCAACCTTGCACTTGAACTCCTTGCCCTGCAGCCAGTCCTGGTGCCGGATGGGGAGGGTACTGACCACGCGCCAGGTGCTGTTGTACTTCACCTCCTCAGACTTCATCTTGCCCTTGTTCTCCTCCTTACCGTCCACGTACCAGGTGAACTTGACGGGGTCATCCTGAGTCACGTCCACCACCACACACGTGACTGCGGGCTCCCGGGAGATCAAGAGGGTGTCCTTGGGTTTTGGAGGGAAGATGAAGACCGATGGCGCTCCCAGGTTCTCAGGAGCTGGTGTGGGAGACAAGGCCGGGGTTTAGCACAGAGGTGGACCTGCCTGGACACTTGTCCCCCCATGGGCCACCTCCTGGGGGCAGCTGACTTACGTGGGCATCTGCAGCAGGCGCATGGAGGTTCGGTAGTAGGAATTTCCCTTGGTATGACTACAGAAAGAACAGATGGGGTTACTGGGACCTGCTGGGACCTGGGGGGATATCCCTGGGGGTGGGCTTATGTCAAGGCCAGCGTTTGGTAGGTCTGAGACCAGCGTCTGCTTTTGTGGGCCCAGAGGCTAGGGTCAGGGTGTCCAGCCTTGTCCCACCCTGGGCCTGGTGGAAACCCCCAGACGACCCCTCTCTGAGCTGGGGAAGCTTCAGGCTGAGGAGGCCAACGGCGCCCTGCCTGCTGCCCTGGGCTGCTGGATCAGCCGTCTTTGCCACGTGGTCCATGTGGTCCATGCAGACAGGAGGGCTGCCCAGGCCTGTGTCCTAGTGCCCGCCCTCTCCATGGCTGTGCTCTCACCTCTCACTTCCTTCTTGGTGCTGGTGGCCGGGTGGGCCACGTTGCAGGTGAAGGTCTGGCTCTCCCAGTTGCTGGCGGGCACTGTCACCATGCTGCTGAGAGAGTAGAGCCCGGAGGACTGCCTGACAGATGGGAAGGTGTGCACGCCGCTGGACAGGGCTCCCGAGTTCCAGGTCACGGTCACCGGCTCAGGGGAGTAGCCGGACACCAGGCAGGCCAGGGCCACCGTGGAGCCAGACGTGACTCCACAGGGGGACAGCGGGAACACTGACGGAGCCGTTTTAGAGGCTGCAATAGAAGAGGCTGTGTGACTGCCAGGGCCTCACCCCTGTGAAGGTCCAGGTAGGACATCCGGTGCCTGGGCCGGGGCAGTGTTGAGCCCAGCGTCCATCGCCAGTGTGCTTCCAGGAAGCCTGCAGACCAGCTGCCCCACGTGGCCCTCTGCGGCCGTGGGCACTGGACTCATCAGCCCAATCAGTGCTGGACGGCTTCCTGCATTAGGTCCCCCAGCCTGTAGCCCCTTGTCCCCACTGAGCCAGCCTCTGCCTGAGTACTGACCAGTGGCCCTTCTTCTGGCTGGCTCCACTGGTCCCCTGAGCCCAGTGTCCTGTCTCCTCAGTCTGTCGTGCCCCAGTGGAACAAGTGCCCCCCCAGGTGTGGTGGGTCTCTGCCACCCACTGCCCCTGCTCTGCTCCATGTCCTGGAATCTCCTCCTTGGCACCCCCATCTCTGTGCCTTCACCCCTAGCCCAGGGCTCTTCAGGTCTTGCCCTTTGTCCCCTGAGTCCTGGGGCTGACCCCTGCCCTCTGGCCCTCTCAGCTCACCTGTCCAAGCTTGGCAGCTCACCTCCTCCCAGCTGCCTGCAGCCCCTCTTCCTGGCCCCTCACAGGGAGTCCAGGTCCCCTGCCCATCGGAGCCGGGTTTGCCAGCTCAGGCCCGAGCCGTCCTTGCCCATGGGTCTCTGTTTCCCCGGCACTGGGCCCCTCAACTAACCAGCCGGACCCTTTCCTTACCTCTGCCAGATGCCCTGCAGAGTCCTTGCAAGACATGCACACCAGCAACTGCCCTGCTCTCCTCCCTGCAGCTCTTGGCCAAAGCAGCCCTCTTCCCCTACTGCCACATGGTCACTCTCCACCCATCTGCTCATACCTGCTTGAGAGTGCTGTGACCTCCTGGGGAAGCTCCTGCCATGCCACCTGCCGCTGCTAACTTTAATAGCTCTGCCAACTCCCCCGACCTCCAAGGGCAGCTCCCTGTCCTTCAACCTGCCCTGCTCAACTGCATAGCTCTGCCAGCTCCCCCTACCTCCAGCGGAGGCTCCTTGTCCTGCCACTTGCCCTGCTCACCTGCGTAGCTCTGCCAGCTCCACCAACCTCCAGGGGCAGCTCCATGCTCTCTCTCCTGCCCCTTGCACCTGCATAGCTCTGCCAGCTCTCTTTGACCTCCAGGGGCAGCTCACTGCCCTCCCAACTGCCTTGCTCCACTGCACAGCTCTGCCAGCTCCTCAGACCTCCAGGGACAGCTCCCTGCTCTCCCTCCTGCCCCTGCTCACCTGCATAGCTCTGCCAGTTCTCCAATCTCCAGAATCAGCTTTGCCCTCCCAACTGCCCCTGCTCACCTGCATAGCTCTGCCAGCGCCCTCGACCTCCAGGGTCAGCTTTGCCCTCCCAAATGCCCCTGCGAACCTGCATAACTGCCAGCTCGACCGACCTCCAGAAGCAGCTCCCTGCTCTCCCTCCTG